CAAACTCTAAAAACTGAAGTTCTGAATCTGTAACCCTGAAATCCTGAACTTCTGAAATCGGAAAGTTCTGTAACTTTTGAAATTCTGAAATTCTGAGATTCTAGAATTCCTTAAAACGGAAATTCTAAAATTCTGATGTTATGAAATTCAAAACTACTCACAGTTATAAATTCTTAAAAACTCAGACCCTGAACTTCTGATAATCAGGAGGTCTGAAAATCTCTAATTCGGAAATCCCGGAATTCAGAAACCCTGTAACTCTAAAATTCTCGAATCCTGATGTTATGAAATTCTAAAATTTTGATAATCAGAAATTCTGAAAGTCTCTGATTCTGGAATCCTGAAAATCTGAAAATCTAAAATTCTGGAATTCTGTAATTCTGAACTTCTCATAGCAATTCGGAGCTACAAGGGGGTACAAAGTGATGGTACAAGATCCTAAATTCGGGGGTACAGAAATAAAAATTCATTCAAAATGTAGAATAATCAAAAAAATATATTCGAAAGACAAGTCACGACATCTTCACACTTTAATGACGCTCGGTATTCGGTGCAGTTGAAATAGACGTTTCCGATTACGGTTGCCATAAAGAGACGTTTCACCGGATCCTCTCCTTTGAGATCTGGAGCACTTGGATGAGGGACATATACTCTTGCAGAATTGGTTCCTCTGGATTGACGAGCTTCTTCCAGGATTTGTGATCCCCATCTCGCTCCAAACGACGACGTTCCCGAGAATCTTCTTGACGATGAGCCTCGTGTATTTGCACGTGGCTGGGGTGTGTCCGATGGAAACGAACCTCGTTGTCTGCCATCCATTTGAACATATCGAAAAAAAGGAGCATTGAATATTTTGAATGTGAAATTTGAAGTCATTAGGATTTTGAGAATTCTTAAAAGTTGAGAAACTTTTTAAATTTTTGAGCTTTGAAATTTCGAAATTTTGACATCTTGTGATTTTTTTGAGAATCTGAGTTTCTCAAATTTCGAAATTCTAATATTGAAATTTCTGAGTAACCAGAAAACTTGAAAACACTCACCAATAATTCAAATATTAGAAAAATATAGAATACTCAGGAAAATCAAAAAGGAACATTCCGAAATCCATGCAGAAGGCTTTCTGGAAAGAACCGAATAATAGTGAATAACTAGATTTTCAGAAAAATAAGGGGAACTTTCCGAGCCCATTCATATTCAGGGCTATACGAAAAGTCCCCCGGAAAATTTTGGCCGTTATTCAGTCAAGCGGCCTGAAGAAGAAAGTGAAGATGATTCCGTCGGAGAAAGCAAGTCGTATGCTCTCACCGACAGACGCGAGAGTATCGAGAGAAATATTCAGGGGAAGTGAGAGGCGCGAGACATCGACGTGGCGCTGCAAAAGCTGAACAAAAGATGATAGGCGTAGAGAACAACTGCAAACTGGGTGCCCCGGGGCCTCGCCGGACGCAGAAACTGCAATAAATAAGAAGAAAAATGGGAAAAAGATGCTAAAAGCCAGAGAAACGACCAGAGGTTCGGTGCAAAATGAAAAGTGACTAGAGACGCAGAGTGCCGCCTGCGTCCTCTTCTCTCTGAAAATTGCCGCGGAATTCTAATCGTAGTTTTGAAGTTTTCGTAGTTTTCAGATTTTCAGAATTTTAGAATTTTTTCCGGAATTTCAGAGTTCCTGAATTTAGATTTAAAATTTTGGCATCCGAAATCTCAGAACTTCTTAAATTTGGAATTTTGAAAATTAGAATTGTAGAATGAAAATAAACTGCGACGTGGCGCGATAAAAGCATCTGGAATTGTGAAATCGTAAAATGTGGATATTATGAAATTTTGAAGTTCTGATGATCTCATATCTAAACCTAAGATGCTGAGTTTCTGAAATTCTGAAACTCTGCCTATCATTTAAAAATATAATTTTAGGTGATCTCTCCGATGTTCTTCGGCATCAGAAGGTCACCTATGAGCGCGATTTCTTCTGAAAATTGTCATAAAGGCAAGAATTCAAAAAAAAATTTAAAAATTAGGTGTAAAATTTTTCAGAGGAACATGAATAACAGTGAAATGGATTGCAACTCAGGGGAATGAACTGACCAGTAGGTGTTTTGAAACTTCGAAATTCTGGAATTCTGAAACTCCGAGAGAATCTCAGAATTTCAGAATCTCGGAATCTCAGAATCTCAGAAGCCCAAGAATTTCAGAGTCTCAAAATCTCAGAATCTCAGAATTTCAGAATATCCGAATCTCCAAATCTTAGAATCTCAAAATCGCAGAGGAAATTCTGAAATTCTGAGATTCTGAAATTCTGAGATTCTGAAATTCTGAGATTCTGAGATTCTGAGATTCTGAGATTCTGAGATTCTGAGATTCTGAGATTTTGAGATTCTGAGATTCTGAGATTCTGAGATTCTGAGATTCTGAGATTCCGAGTTTCTGAGATTCTGAGATTCTGAAGTTCTGAAATTCTGAAATTCTGAAATTCTGAAATTCTGAAATTCTGAAACTGAAATTCTGAGATTTTGAAATTCTGAAATTCTGAGATTCTGAGATTCTGAGATTCTGAGATTCCGAGATTCCGAGATTCTGAGATTCCGAGATTCTGAAATTCTGAGATTCGGAAATTCTTAAATTCTAAGATTAGGAGATTCTTGGGATTCTGAGATTCTGAAATTCTGAGATTGTGAAATTCTGAGATTCTGAGATTCTGAGATTCTGAGATTCTGAGATTCTGAGATTCTGAGATTCTAAGATTCTGAGATTCTGAGATTCTGAGATTCTGAGATTTTGAGATTCCGAGATTCCGAGTTTCTGAGATTCTGAGATTCTGAAGTTCTGAAATTCTGAAATTCTGAAATTCTGAAATTCTGAAATTCTGAGATTTTGAAATTCTGAAATTCTGAGATTCTGAGATTCTGAGATTCTGAGATTCCGAGATTCCGAGATTCTGAGATTCCGAGATTCTGAAATTCTGAGATTCGGAAATTCTTAAATTCTAAGATTAGGAGATTCTTGGGATTCTGAGATTCTGAAATTCTGAGATTGTGAAATTCTGAGATTCTGAGATTCTGAGATTCTGAGATTCTGAGATTCTGAGATTCTGAGATTCTAAGATTCTGAGATTCTGAGATTCTGAGATTCTGAGATTTTGAGATTCCGAGATTCCGAGTTTCTGAGATTCAGAGATTCTGAAATTCTGAGATTCGGAAATTCTTAAATTCTAAGATTAGGAGATTCTTGGGATTCTGAGATTCTGAAATTCTGAGATTGTGAAATTCTGAGATTCTGAGATTCTGAGATTCTGAGATTCTGAGATTCTGAGATTCTGAGATTCTAAGATTCTGAGATTCTGAGATTCTGAGATTCTGAGATTTTGAGATTCCGAGATTCCGAGTTTCTGAGATTCTGAGATTCTGAAGTTCTGAAATTCTGAAATTCTGAAATTCTGAAATTCTGAAATTCTGAAACTGAAATTCTGAGATTTTGAAATTCTGAAATTCTGAGATTCTGAGATTCTGAGATTCTGAGATTCCGAGATTCCGAGATTCTGAGATTCCGAGATTCTGAAATTCTGAGATTCGGAAATTCTTAAATTCTAAGATTAGGAGATTCTTGGGATTCTGAAATTCCGAGATTCTGAGATTCTGAGATTCTGAGATTCTGAGATTCTGAGATTCTGAGATTCTGAGATTCTAAGATTCTGAGATTCTGAGTTTCTGAGATTCTGAGATTCTAAGATTCTGAAGTTTTGAAATTCTGAAATTCTGAAATTCTGAAATTCTGAAACTGAAATTCGGAGATTTTGAAATTCTGAAATTCTGAGATTCTGAGATTCTGAGATTCTGAGATTCTGAGATTCCGAGATTCCGAGATTCCAAGATTCTGAGATTCCGAGATTCTGAAATTCTGAGATTCGGAGATTCTCAGATTCTAAGATTAGGAGATTCTTGGGATTCTGAAATTCCGAGATTCTGAGATTCTGAGATTCCGAGATTCTGAAATTCTGAGATTCTGAGATTCTGAGATTCTGAGATTCTGAGATTCCGAGATTCTGAGCTTCTGAGATTCTGAGATTCTGAAATTCTGAGATTCTGAGATTCTGAAGTTCTGAAATTCTGAAATTCTGAAAATCTGAGATTCTGAGATTCTGAGATTCTGAGATTCTGAGATTCTGAGATTCCGAGATTCTGAGCTTCTGAGATTCTGAGATTCTGAAATTCTGAGATTCTGAAATTCTGAGATTCTGAAATTCTGAGATTCTGAAATTCTGAGATTCTGAGATTTTGAGATTCTGAGATTCTGAGATTCTGAGATTCTGAGATTCTGAGATTCCGAATTTCTGAGATTCTGAGATTCTGAAGTTCTGAAATTCTGAAATTCTGAAATTCTGAAACTGAAATTCTGAGATTTTGAAATTCTGAGATTTTGAGATTCTGAGATTCTGAGATTCTGAGATTCTGAGATTCTGAGATTCCGAGTTTCTGAGATTCTGAGATTCTGAAGTTCTGAAATTCTGAAATTCTGAAATTCTGAAACTGAAATTCTGAGATTTTGAAATTCTGAAATTCTGAGATTCTGAGATTCTGAGATTCTGAGATTCCGAGATTCCGAGATTCTGAGATTCCAAGATTCTGAAATTCTGAGATTCGGAGATTCTCAGATTCTAAGATTAGGAGATTCTTGGGATTCTGAAATTCTGAGATTCTGAGATTCTGAGATTCTGAGATTCTGAGATTCTGAGATTCTGAGATTCTAAGATTCTGAGATTCTGAGATTCTGAGATTCTGAGGTTTTGAGATTCCGAGATTCCGAGTTTCTGAGATTCTGAGATTCTGAAGTTCTGAAATTCTGAAATTCTGAAATTCTGAAATTCTGAAACTGAAATTCTGAGATTCTGAGATTCTGAGATTCCGAGTTTCCGAGATTCTGAGATTCCGAGATTCTGAAATTCTGAGATTCGGAAATTCTTAAATTCTAAGATTAGGAGATTCTTGGGATTCTGAAATTCCGAGATTCTGAGATTCTGAGATTCTGAGATTCTGAGATTCTGAGATTCTGAGATTCTGAGATTCTGAGATTCTGAGATTCTGAGATTCTAAGATTCTGAGATTCTGAGATTCTGAGATTCTGAGATTCTGAGATTTTGAGATTCCGAGATTCCGAGTTTCTGAGATTCTGAGATTCTAAGATTCTGAAGTTTTGAAATTCTGAAATTCTGAAATTCTGAAATTCTGAAATTCTGAAACTGAAATTCGGAGATTTTGAAATTCTGAGATTCTGAAATTCTGAGATTCTGAGATTCTGAAGTTCTGAAATTCTGAAATTCTGAAATTCTGAGATTTTGAAATTCTGAGATTCTGAGATTCTAAGATTCTGAGATTCTGAGATTCCGAGATTCTGAGATTCTGAGATTCTGAGATTCTGAGATTCTGAGATTCTGAGATTCTGAGATTCCGAGATTCCGAGATTCTGAGATTCCGAGATTCTGAAATTCTGAGATTCGGAAATTCTTAAATTCTAAGATTAGGAGATCCTTGGGATTCTGAAATTCCGAGATTCTGAGATTCTGAGATTCTGAGATTCTGAAATTCTGAGATTCGGAAATTCTTAAATTCTAAGATTAGGAGATTCTTGGGATTCTGAAATTCCGAGATTCTGAGATTCTGAGATTCTGAGATTTTGAGATTCTGAGATTCTGAGATTCTGAGATTCTGAGATTCTAAGATTCTGAGATTCTGAGATTCTGAGATTCTTAAATTCTAAGATTAGGAGATCCTTGGGATTCTGAAATTCCGAGATTCTGAGATTCTGAGATTCTGAGATTCTGAAATTTTGAGATTCGGAAATTCTTAAATTCTAAGATTAGGAGATTCTTGGGATTCTGAAATTCCGAGATTCTGAGATTCTGAGATTCTGAGATTTTGAGATTCTGAGATTCTGAGATTCTGAGATTCTGAGATTCTAAGATTCTGAGATTCTGAGATTCTGAGATTCTGAGATTTTGAGATTCCGAGATTCCGAGTTTCTGAGATTCTGAGATTCTAAGATTCTGAAGTTTTGAAATTCTGAAATTCTGAAATTCTGAAATTCTGAAATTCTGAAGTTCTGAAATTCTGAAACTGAAATTCTGAGATTTTGAAATTCCGAAATTCTGAGATTCTGAGATTCTGAGATTCTGAGGGAGAAGTAGAGAAAGAGAGTGTTTTCGTATATCTCTGTCCTTGACCAAAACTTTACTGAAGTGTGATAGACGGTGCAACAAGACCCAAAGCAAGGAAGGCGAAAACAGAACGGACCTGATGGGGAAGTAGAGAGAGAGAGAGAGAGAAAGAGAGAGAGTGTGTGTGTTTTCGTATATCATTGTCCTTGACAAAAAGGTGGTAGACGGTGCAAGGAGGATCAAAACGAGGAAGATTGTATTTAAAGAGCCTTTGTGGGAACAGATTAGGAATATCGATTTTTCAATGGGTAACTTTTTATAGTTTGAATGTTTTCAGAATTCGAAAGTCAGCACTCGGAAATTAGAATTTGGTATTCGGTAGTCAGAAGTTAGAATTTGGAATTTGGAATCCGGAATTCTATAATCAAAATTAGGAATTCTGGAAACCAAAAAGTCTCGTAGTCAGGAAACTGAGAAACTATCGGGAAGCGGATAACTGGAATTCGGAAAATTTGAGAAACCACGAAAGCAGAAAGTCTGGAGTAGAAGTTCGAAACTAGACGTTGGAAAAACAAGAAATCGGGGAATCAGAAAACGGAGAAATCGAGATGTGGAATACTGAGAAGGTGGGAAACCAAAAAGTTGGGAAGTCTGAAGCTTTTTCGCAAAACACAAAATAAAAAATATTTCATGAAAGTTTATTGACAAATTTCGAACAAAAATGAAGGCGATAGATTGACAGTAGACTTCAATGAAGTTGGTAGTAAAATGGAGGATTCGTCTGAAAACAAAGTAATGATTTTTTTTTCAGAACTTATGTTTGCACTTTGAGCTCATTTATCTCGTTTTCTGCAAAATATACCAAAAATCTGTCAACTAATAAAATGTTTGTCATAAATTTTCTAACATTTTTATAATTAACAGCTTCTTGATATCATTCACAGGAACCAAGATGAACTAGCTTTAAATTGACAAAATTTCCCAATTAAAACTCACTTGCCGTACTCCATTAGCCAGACTTTCGTCTGTTGATCGGTTTTATCAGGAACCCTGTGGAAAAACCCGTCCGTTGAATTATTATTACCAAATCAGAAGATTTTTGAGAACAATGATTTATTAGCTGTTGACAAAAATACAAAGTACAACACAATTCAGATAAAAGACTCATTTTACTTGATCAATTCAGCCTTCCATTGCCTTTCATGCTCCTTTCTGAGAATTCGCCACATCTTAGTCTACTCCTTTTTCTCCGTGGATCCCAGTTCGTTCCATTTTGGGTCTGAAAATATCGAAATCTGATTGAACAACTTGAATGGTATCAACTCACAGAAAACGTAGCTATTCGATGCGTCGATCACCTTTCGGGAAGCCTTATTCTCATTTGGATTGAAGAAGTAGCACGAAAGATCTGAAAAAAAAGTGAAAAACTCAAACATTACAACTTCATTAACTCACTGAGATTCTTCCCTGGGAGGATTTCTCCAGTTTTGCCTCGTCGACGGTGATTTGTCGCTCCTCGTCCTCTAGAACTTCTTTCTTGATGCTCTGTGATTCGAGTTGTCAGAGCTGAATTTTTGAATAGTTACTGTAGTTTGAAAATGTCAACAAACTTTTCAGAAACTCCTCGAAAACAAAAATGGTGTCTCATTACCATGCCGGCGGAGTGCCTTTCCAACATTTGGAGTTGTTCGATTTCTGTAAATTTCAAATGGGTACTCCATATCCTTCAAAAATAACTCACCAGCTTCGGCTCGGATGTTCTTTTCTCGTTCCATTGCTAGTTCTTTTTGAAGCTGAGCAACTTGATATTCTGAAAATTGATATTCTAGTCTATGAGTATAATTGAAAAAATCTACCTGAATTTTTTGCATTTGTTGAAGCCAAACTAGATGATGACGGTGTTGACAGAGCCGTTGGAGCTGTGGGGATCGGGGGCTGATGATTCTGGAAAGTTTGGAGTATGATTTGCGTTGTAAATAAGAAAATTACCTTTGAAACGATGTTTTCTTCAACTTCTCGTAGAATATTAAGAGAATAATTTGATAATCAGAAAAATCAAGAAGAATTTTCCAAAATCCATTCATTTTTGGAATTTTTTGGAAAACTCTGAGTAAATAGAGAATAAGTAGAAGTGAGAGGGGGGAGGAGGTGAATACTCAGAAGAATCAAAAAAGGAAATTTCCGAATTCCATGCAAAAAGAAGAAATCTGAGCGCCGGCTTCACCCCCTAATTTTTAGACTATTTTTTCACAATTTTTTCATTTTGTCAAATCTTAAAAACACTGCAAAAACGGAGTTAAATCAACTAAAAATGAATAGTTCTAATGAAATTTAAATGATCTTTTAGTTTTAGAACTCTCATTTGTAACCCTCATTAGTCTGGTCAGCCTTATGTTTTCACCAATTTTTATTTTCGATAGTTTTTTCTAAGGCTATGGATACGGCTATGGATACGGCTACGGCTCAAAAAAAAAACTATCGAAAATAAAAAGTGGTGAGGGGGTCGGAGGGCTAAGGGGCTAAAGAAGGACTAAGGAAGGATAGAAAACGCAGTGAAGTGCTTTCAAAAACAAATGAAAATAAATGGAATCATTTTATCTCGAGAAAATCTATAAAGCCTATATGAAAGAATGAGGTGTAAAAGAAGGACCTAATGGCTGGTGTACAAAATTCAATGTTCCAAAATCCAGTCTTAATAAGGCTATCAGATTACATTCAACAGAAGATAGAATTGATAATAGACGAAGAGATGAAATTGGTAGATTTATTGCAGCAGATAATATTTTTAGAGATGAGGCAATTGAAGAAGAAATGGGAAGATACCCATAATACAAATGAAGAAAATGATAAAATCGATTTTGAAATTAGAGGGAATACAAATGAAAATGTTCCGTCAATAAAAAATGATACCCACTATATCATCTCATCCGAGGATGATATAAAGTTTTTATACAATTCAAGGGCATCTGTTTTTATATCTGAAGAGGATGAACACCTATTGAGTTTAAAAGATGTTGAACAGTTATATCGCAGAGCTAATACTCGTGTTCCAGATAAAAGAATTAAAGATATATCAGAAAATGAAAGAAGAGAAATGTTATTATCTATGGCATTTACTGACGGTTTGATATATTCTTCTACTTATTAGTTTCCAACCATTTTGATATTTCATCCTTAGGATTTTTGATATTATTAGTGCTTAGTTGTTCACTCACTTCATTAAAGGTGAGGGGACATGAAAAAATAATGTTCTCGAAATTTCGTTCAAAGATGCCCCTCGAGGAGTTGAACTTGTGAGGGCGATGATTGAGGGTGCGGCGCCGCTACCGACTGAGCTATGCGGGCAAAGAGAAAGCACACGCCCGATTGCATACATAAAGGCGAGGACGACAGCTGTACGCAGAGTGACATTAAGCGCTGTACACCGTGACGGTAGAATGCATACTCTAGCTACAAAAAAACTACGAAAAATCTCCTGTCCCCCCACCTTTAAAATAAGACAACGCAAATTTCTTTACTTCCACTTCAACCCCATCCTTTGACAAGAATCTACCTGTTGTCTCTTTGTATGGTTTTTGCTCTTTCTTTGTGAAGTATATTTTTGTGTCTGTCTCGGCTGTTGCCCGGTCGGCCGCGGCCAGGGTCAGCGGACGGGCGCTGCCCTGGCCCTGGCGATCCCGTCAGTTTTGTTCAAAGCCTAAAATTTTCAGTCAATGTCGTCTAGCGTATCAGTGTCAAAGCTGAAAATCTCGCAGGGAGCCAAAAAAGAGTTTGGCTACAATTTCGATGTGGTCTGCAGCCAATTCGACTTCTCGTATCTGATCTCTTCGAACATTTTCTGCCGCGTCGAGCTGGATGGACAAATTTGTTTGGCTTATGAGAATTGAGGATTTTTTGATTGGACAAGTGTGTTTCTGTAAATTTCGAATAAAGGATTTTATAATTCATCTGTTTATTCAAAAATAGAGAAATGTGTGCTGATGGAAACCAAAACGAGGATTTAGGGTCATACAAAACGGTTGTTTGAAGGGAAGGGTCTCAATTTGAAATGTCCAAAAAAAGTTCATATGTACAGAGAGAGAGAGAAGGGAGGGGGGACCAGTGAAATATGATTTTCGAATCTGAGAACTTTTGAATGAGGTGAAGATAGTCTTAGATGGCAAAAAAGGAGAGCTGCACGGTTAAAAAAAGAAACTTAGCTGGTAAAACAAGAAAAGTTAGGAAATAAGGATAATTGAAATTAGGATCACTTTGAAATATTCAAACAAGTCCAAAGAACGGACGGAGTGAGGGAAACAGTACTCAATAGAATCTTAGAATCAAAAGATACAGAACTCGTGGAAAGGATTTGTTGGGAGAAAAAAAATCTAATTTCGAAACAGCATTTCAGATTCTGGATATGTCAGAAGCAGCAGGAGTTCGTGAGGGCATGAAGGATAACTACAAAAGCTGCAGAGGAAGAAAATGTGAGCAGAAAACAGGAACAGGAAACATTGAACGAGGGTATTAAGGAAGGTGGGTTGACAAAAGATCTGGGAAGTGGTCATGATGTGAGGGGCATATTGGTTGGGAAGACTTTGAGAAGAGTGGAGGAGCACAAAAGATTCTTCAAGAAAATCATGAAGAGGTAAGGTGTGGATTCAGGAACTATTCGGGAGACGATTCAGGGAGTGAAAGAGAGAGAGAGAGAGAGAAGGCCGAGTAGGCAAAACATCTGCATACTGGGGAGGAGCTCATATTCAGTCGGTCAGTTCAGGGGAGCCCTGCAATTTTTCCTCTTATTTGATCGACGCATTCATCTATGTAACTGCAACAGAACGGCCCCACTGACATTAAACTTTAAGCCAACTTTCTCGGTTCCTGTCAAAGATATCAAAAAATTGTCAACTGATAAGTTATTTATCATAATATCAGAAGTAATTTGTCAGTTAAAACATTCTTGATATCTAGCATAGGAATTGAGATAATTGAGCTGAAAGGGCACGTACATGGTTAGGTTTTATTAGACAATTCACGGAATGACTAATCTATACGGGATAGCGGAGTGTCGTTGTGCGATGACTTATTTATTCTCACAGTCCCATCAGCTAGTTTTTAATGACTCACCGAATAATTTCTGGCTTCCTCTAACATCTTTTTCAGCTCATCTTCTTTCCTCTTCTTCTCCTTTTTTTCCTCAATCCTTCGCCTCTTTGCCTCGATTGCAGGCGCTGTCTGCTGCTTCCTTTGCTCGAGCGTTTTCTGGAATTAAAAAAAATAATTTTTGAGGATTAAAGTTGACAAGGCTTTTCTGTTTATCTATTGTCTAAGGAACCGAGACTCTTATAAGCCTATAGTAAGTTGGTGCGATAGCCAAACCCTGCTAGAACTACTCCAACCATGCTACTCAGCTCAAGAGCTCTACATATAGCTATGCCTAGGCAAAACTATATATGTCTAATGTCCTATCGCAATGTGAAATTTTACTTACATTAGTTTTCTCCCTCTTCGCCCAGGTTGGACGACATGGCTCCTCCTCTGCATCTTCCTCGAAATGCGCTTCTATGTCAAAATCCTGATCGTCCTCGACCAACAATCTCTCCTGAAAACTTTTGATTGATTTACCCGCTTTCCATTATCACGAGTATGTTAAACCCCCATATTGTCTAGATCCCAAAATTTCCACACTTCTTCTGTGGGAAAACAGATCTAGTTGAAAATCGATAAAACTCACTTCTGATCTGCTACGGGGGTTCTTGTCCTGTGATGGACCTCCAGCCGCTTCTGGTTCTTCTACTCCGTCACAAAGCCCCTGAAGAAAACTTACCACAGTACGACGACGACGGCTGAACTGGTAGCTGCTTCCACTCGTCTCAGCTCTCTCTCTTCATATCGTCTCTTCCTATCATTTTTCTCCTGATCCATCTTCCTCTCCTTCTCTTCTTTCTCCTCTCGGATCTTCTTAGCCTGGGAGTCGTTGTTATTCTTCCCAAGCCCACGTTTTCCAGCTCTTCTGCTCGTGGACGGTGCATCCTGATCAGCAGGCGTGTCTCTCCGATGCTCAGCATCGACGGGGCCAGCCAGTTCGACGTCTTCTTGATCTCTTTCATCTGCATCCGCCTGTAAATACTTAAATTACTAATAATGAATCTAAGGTGGACGATTGTCACCTCTGCATCAGAAAGTATGTCCTGTGGATCTGTGTCATCAAAGTCGTCGAGCTCAGGAATGATCTGAAATTTAAACTGATATGGATAATGTACTGAAAATCCTTATATTAAAGAGTAATGATAAAAATGGGCAAAAAAACTTACATCAACACCGTCGTGAACGATTTGGAGATTCGCTGCAACAACAGTCTCCGACGAAGGATCCTCGGGAGTCATTGATTCTCGACAATTTTCTTCAGCAGCTCTCAATCGTTCTAATCCCGCATTTGCCTCATTCAATATCCGCTCCAAAACCAATGAATCGTTAGCTCGTCTTACAAGTGATTCCTCAAGATTGGCTATTTTTCCCTCCAAATCCCTGTTCTTTTCTTCAGAAGCGTTCAGTTTTTCAGCAAGTTGTCCGTTGGCGGCGGTTGCCTGCTCCACACATTTCTGAAGTTTAGCTACATCCATTTGAAGCGTATTTACCGTTGTCTCCAGTCTTCTATTTTCTTCTTGAAGCTTTCCTTTTTTGCTATCCACCACCTGCAGTCTTGCTTCGAGTTCTTTGTTGGAGACGACAGATTCTTGAATTTTTCCCTCGAGTTCTTTGACTGTTTTCTGGAGATGCTCCTTATCCTTATTGCACTGAAGAATTTTTCCCTCTAGATCCTGAAGCTTTCCCACAGCGTCCTCTTTCTCTTTCTGAATTGCGCGCTTCTGGTCTTCCGACTCGCGAAGATTGCCTTGAAGAGTCTTCAGTCCTTCTGTAGCTGTCTCGAGATTTTTGCGAGTTCTGAGTTTCTCGCTTGGAGATTTTTGATTTCAGCATCGTGCGAAGCCTTCTGATCCTCTTTATATTTCTGAGTCTGCTGCAGTTTTGAGTGCACTTCCTTTTTGAAGACCTCAGTGACTCGAGCAGCTTCAATGAGATCTTTTTGCAGCTTCTCGTATAGTGGGGTGAAAGAAGCTGATCCTGAAGCCAAATGAGCATCTGAAAAAAATGCATTCAAAACACCTTTTCAAGTTAGAAAAAAAATGCTTACCTCTTGGATGGGCTTGAACCAGCAGTTGATTTTCAGAAAAATAAAAAAAAAAAGGAAATTTCCGAATTCCATGCAGAAGGAATTCTAGAAAGATCCGAATAATAGTTAGACATCTTTTCAGTGAAGTTGTCAGAATGGTACTGTATTAGCCAGACTTTCGTCTGTTGATCTCTTCCGCCGCGTAGAGGCTCAGTACCAAGAAAGAGTAACAGGTTTTATTCGGGGAAAACTTGTCAAAAAACCTCAGCCACTTGTCTATCTACCGATTCTTCCTCCACTCGCTCCCCATCGTTGCAGTTTTGTCTTCTAACTGGTCCTCCATCTTTTTCTGAAGTTCATAAAAACTGGAAGATATATTTCAAATCAGGAACTTTGAAATTGTCAACTCACATCGTCTCCATAAACATTCTCCGTCGGAGGACGTCCATTTTCTTTTTTCTGGACCGTGGGGGCAGCTGAAATCCACCAAATCGTCTTCCTGCTCTATAAGAGAAAAACCACTTAAAAGAACCTATCTCGTTTGTTTGGGTCATAACTCGGTTTGTTTTGAGCTGTTGTTTTGGGGTTGAAAGCTTTGAACTTGTAGTAAAATTTCGGATTTCAGAAAAATGCTTACCTCGTTTGCGAGTGATGGTTGGTGCATTGGTGGCTGACGATTTTCCTCTTCCACGGCTACTTGGGGATGTTGAGGCATTTCCTTGGGCACGAACAGTGGTTGCTCCTGTAGCCACTCTTCCACGGCCACGACCACCAGACGAAGCTACAGTAGTTGAAGCTGCTGCTACTCCTGAAGATCGCTTGGCAGAATCTTTTGAATACCTTCTACGAGGACAACCGAAAGCTGAAACAATGAAGGAAATAATTTTAAACTGAAAAAAAGGTTCAGAAGATGACTCACCCTTTTATGGAGCCGGACGCTTACAAGGAGCCTTTTTGCGATCCATCAGCGCTTCTGCCACATGGCCGGATCATTCTTGACGTAGGCGTCAAGCGTCGACGTGGAGCAACTGGGGCAGTAGAACGTCCTGATGGAGAACGACGTCGAGAAGCTATCTGATTTGTCGTTGGCGTCGCTGGAGTTCCCTGGTTTCCTGTGCCTTGTTGGATGATTGTTGGAGCATCAGCAGATCTCAAGCGTCGATGAGGTGCCACTGGACTCGACTTAGCATCTCGGGATGAAGAACGAAATCGAGATGATATCTCGTCCTTCTTCTTTTTCAAGTCGTCGTTCTCCTTCTTCACGGCTCGACTCTCGACCTCATTTTCATTTATCTGAAAAATGCGGAACATATTGAACAAAAAAAAATTCAAGTTTTGAAACTGATAACTTTTCTGTTGAATTTTTAAATTGTTTTTTTAACACTTCGACTTTGAAAAAAATGCTTACCTCTTGGATGGGCTTGAACCAGCAGTTGATTTTCAGAAAAATAAAAAAAAAGGAAATTTCCGAATTCCATGCAGAAGGAATTCTAGAAAGATCCGAATAATAGTTAGACATCTTTTCAGTGAAGTTGTCAGAACGGTACTGTATTAGCCAGACTTTCGTCTGTTGATCTCTTCCGCCGCGTAGAGGCTCAGTACCAAGAAAGAGTAACAGGTTTTATTTGGGAAAAACATGTCAAAAAACCTTCACGCCTTCTTTAGTCATCAACTCGAGCTTCTTAGTTAGCTCTGATTCCGAAGATTCTTGAGTCATCCTTCTGCTGTCCCGAGCTTTTGATCGAGTTTGGCTAGTTCATTCTGGAGACGCTCATTTTCCTTGGTGCACTGGAGAAGTTTCTCTTCTTGATTCCGCATCTTTTCAACAGTTCTCTCGATTTCTTTCAGAGCAGAATCCTTTTGCTCTCCAGACACAACAAATTTTTATCGAAGTTTCTTGAGATTTGCTTCAGCTGTCCCCAGATTCTTAGCGAGTTCTGAGTTTGACGCTTTGAGGGTATTGTTTTCGGTTTCGAGCTGCTGGATCGAACACTTCAAAGTTGAATTTTCGTTCAGAAGATTCCCTTTTTCAGACTCCGACCTCTTGAGTTTTGTTTGCAGATCACCGAGTTCTCTCAGATTCACCTTCTTCTCTTCTCCAAGCTGCGCAGACATTTCTCGAAGTTGTCGATTTTCCTCTGTGAGTGCCGAGTTGCTTGTTTCGAGAGCACAGAGCCTAGAAAATATTATTGTATGAGAAAAAATTGAATCATAGGAAAACTTACTTCTAGATTAGGACGCAGCTTATCGTCCTCAAAAGCGAGGCTCATATTGTTTTGCAACTTTTCGATGGTCCATACTCCCTTATTAGATTTCTCGTTCCATGATGGAATCTGAAATCATGTTTTGTCGATTATATGAAAATGACGAAAAACTTATCTTTTAAAAAAACTATTTAAAAGCTTAATTTAGTATTGAGAGAAGCACCAATTCAAAACCGCCTATTTCGCTTTTTTGAGATTAGCACAAAAATTAGAACTCTAACTCTGATCAGACGTGATTCAATTTTTAGAGAAATGGGGTGACTCTGAGGTTGCGATAGCAAAATTAGGCTGTTTTTGATCTACCGTATTGATTTTCTTATTTTTACAGCTTTCAAAATAATTTTTCACGTTAGAAAAAACGAAAATAAATGCTTACCTCTTGGATGGGCTTGAACCAGCAACTGATTTTGAGAAAAATCAAAAAGGAACTTTCCGAATTCCATGCAGAAGGAATTCTAGAAAGATCCGAATAATAGTTAGACATCTTTTCAGTGAAGTTGTCAGAATGGTACTGTATTAGCCAGACTTTCGTCTGTTGATCTCTTCCGCCGCGTAGAGGCTCAGTACCAAGAAAGAGTAACAGGTTTTATTCGGGGAAAACCTGTCAAAAAACCCCAGTAAATTGTTTCCACTCGACTATAAATTAAGTTTGATTTTATTTTTTAAATTTCAGAAATTTTCTCACCTTTTCTACTGTGGGCAGACTGTACTCGGTAAAAGTTTTATGCACTGATGAGTTGCTTCTTGAATTGGGGAAGCTCTTCCTTACCGTTTTCATTGATGAGGTACACCGACAAGTCTGAAATATACGAAATCATTTTGAGTATTTTTTAAAAGTCGTCTCACCTCTGCAGTCTGCAATAAATAGAGTGGGAAATTCCTCTCTAGCAATTCTGACGGCGTCTTGGAAGCTGGAATAGATGGACGGGTGCATGGCGGACCCATATGGAGCATCGACTCTGTCCTTGGGAGCGAGAAATTGCTCAAATTGAGAATCCCAGAGATGATCGACTTGAGCATTCATTGGAGCATTCAGAAGCATCGGATGGGATCTGCGAATGATCCTGTTCCTCTATCATTGCCTCCTTGAACATCTCGGTATCTTCGAAGACGTCCTTATTCACCGGATCGCAATAACATGCTAGTCTTCTTCCATTGGAACATCAAGTTGGAGATTCAGGTTCCTCATCTCGAGTGTGGCCGGTCCTGGACCAGGGAGGTTTTTATTGTCTTCCTCATCTTGTTCCATTGGATCAGCATTCTGATCTCTACCTTCCGGAATCGATGGACGTGGAGCTTCTGGAATTGATGGACGTGGAGCTTCTGGAATCGATGGACGTGGAGCTTCTGGCAAGTTCCTGAAATATATTCGGGTTACGATTGGATACATTACTCAATTATACGGGTAGATGACCATGTATTAGTCAATTATCGTTAAAACTCACTTGTAGGAGATTTCACAGCGTACGCACTGATAGCACCGAACCACCAAAAATGCCGGGATTCGAGCAGAAATTGGAGCTGAAGAGATCGAATCTGATGGTTTAAGAGGCGATTATGCGTCGGGCTTAAAAGATCTGGAACGGAATAATTTTGGTATGAGTATTTGAAAAAACAGTCTTGGGTTCTTAACTTTTTTAAATTCAAGATTTTTAGAAAAACATTGAAAATGAGATGAAAAATGTTGGAAATGAGGTAACCAAAAACATGTGCTAGTTTTAGCCAGTCTAACTTGTATTTTCAAGTTTGTACAAAAAACGGTTCGAAATCTGCAGTCAAAATCCCCAATTTAAAACCGCCTATCTCATTTTTTTTGGATTAGCACAAACCATTTTTCAAAATTAGAACTCCAGCTCTAATCATACGCAATTTTTTAAAAATTAAGGGTTTTAAGCTATTTGTGAGGTTGCAAAAGGAGAATTGGGCCATTTTTGATCTACTATTGATTTTCTTTTTTTTTGCATTCAAAATGACTTTTCAAGTTTGAAAAAAGAAATTCTTACCTCTTGGATGGGCTCGAACCAGCAGTTGATTATCAGAAAAATCAAAAAAAAACTTTCCGAATTCCATGCAGAAGGAATTCTGGAAAGCCCTGTACTGTATTAGCCAGACTTGCGTCTGTTGATCTCTTCCGCCGCGTAGAGGCTCAGTACATTCGAAAGAGTAACAGGTTTTTTAGAAGAAAACTTGTCAAAAAAACTTTTCTTTTGACATCACGGCATCATCCCGGCTGGAAAACTGAAAATCGATATTCAAAAAATGCCAAATGAGAAAATAAATACCTTATGATCTTTGTGGGGTTTTTCGACAACCTCGTACGCATGCCTGGCTTAGTTTCCTTGAGATACCGTCATTTTTCGCTTCTGTCCTCTGTCTTCCTTGGTTTGGTTGGATGTGTTGGTTGGGAAGGTCTAGAAACCATTTTCTTTTTAGGACTAGATGTTCTGTCAAATATGAAACTTACCCATTGTTAACTTGACACATCATTGAGCATTGATCCACTAGAACTCGGTTGAGCAGAAAAAGAAGAGCGTGGAGAATAAAGGTCAGATGACGAGCTTGAAGGACCACTATTTGAAATTATAGCTCAGCTTAACCTCTGTTTTTCAATTTCCAACAATTGGTGTTCAAAAAACTCACTTGACATCCAAGTCGAACTGCTGGATGAAGACGGGCACTGTTTCCAGACGAATCCTTGCCCTTCAGAGCTGGTGGAGAGTGGAATGAAGATGCCGAAGAGTCAAAATCTGAAATAATATCGTTTGTTTCACACGGGTAACACGCCAAAAATATGTCAGTTTTATTCAGTTTAACTTGCTTTTTCGGATTTGTGCAATAAAAGATCACTACAGAATCGAATTTCTGACTTTTTAAAAAATATACAGTCAAATTCTCAGAAAAATGGAAGAGTTCGAGAAAATGTTGCAAGATTTCAAACTTTCTCTTTGTAAAAAATCAAAATATGGTGTTACTTTGTCTTGAATTAGGCTATAACTATGTTCGTTTTTGAGCTGTTGGTTTGACGTTTCATTTTTTGAGTTAAAAAACACTTACCACTTGATAAGACTTTAACCAGGCGATTGATTTTCAGAAAAATCAAAAAAGGGCCTTCCCGAATTCCATGAAGGAATTCTGGAAATTTCCGAATAATAGTAAGACATCTTTTCAGTGAAGTTGTCAGAATGGTACTGTATTAGCCAGACTTTCGTCTGTTGATCTCTTCCGCCGCGTAGAGGCTCAGTACCAAGAAAGAGTAACAGGTTTTATCGGGGGAAAACCTGTCAAAAAACCCGTCAAATCTCGTTGCCGTCGTTGGCTTCATTCGCTTGATCTGAGCTGTTGGATGGACTACAGGATTGACTTTCTGTCTATAGAAGCCGGAGACCTTATCGAATAAGTTGTCGGTCTTGTAGATGTTGGCGAAGACCGATTCCGACGACTCCGATCTTTTGAGCACTGGGCGTTCTTCTTCATATTCTTCATCGGCACTCAAAAAATTCTCGTAGTCGGAGTCAATGCTGAAAATGGTTTAAAATACAGCATACGTCAATAAGATCTATTTTCAGTTGATGTTCGGCTATTTTTCAGGATTCTGGAGCTCAGTTTTCAAGTTTCCGATCACTCTAACTAATAAATAGACAACATTTACCACAACTCTGTCTAAAAATCAAATTTTCAGCCCTTCTAGGGACAGAGATAGAGCCACTTAAAATTCCACAGGCTAGAGGTGCCAGACGACGAGACACGCTGAGTCTCTAACCCCTCGGAAATTTCAAATGACCGTATCTCGTTTTCTAATATAGCTAGAAAGTTGGTTTTTGACAGAATTGTAGGAAATGTTGTCTATTTTATAATTAAAACTTCAAAGTTTTCAAAGTGATCGGTAAACTGAAAGCTGAGCTCGAGACTCTAGGAAATGGTCAAAAACTCACTCCGAAGCTAGATACGGCAAATTGAAGTCATGCTTTTTGGGCCCTTTGTCCTGAATAGTTTCCGGTTTTCTGACTGGTTTTCCCGGTGGAGCCTTCTTCTTCTTCTTCATGGTGAGCTTGTGAGGAGGAGACCCATGGTTGGAGACGACTTCTGACGTAGGTGAGCTCCTTTCTGGTCATGATGTCCGAACGAATGGCCTTCTTTGGAGCTTCCTTGACCTCGGTGGTAGTGGCAAAAAGAAGAGAATAATCCAAAATCCATTCAGGACTTTTAGAAGATTCTGAATGAATAGAGAAGAAGTGAGGAAGAGAGGTGAGGGGGATGAATACTCAGAAGAATCAAAAAGAAACTTTCCGAATTCCATGCAGAAAGAATTTTGGAAAGATCTGAATAATAGTAAGACATCTTTTCAGTGAAGTTGTCAGAATGGTACTGTATTAGCCAGACTTGCGTCTGTTGATCTCTTCCGCAGCGTAGAGGCTCAGTACCAAGAAAGAGTAACAGGTTTTATTGGGGGAAAACCTGTCAAAAAACCCGTCAGATCTCGTTGGCGTCGTTGGCAGTGACTATTGGAATGTTCCTCTTTCTGGTCTTCTTCTTCTTGAGGTCCTGGCTTATTGGAGGTATTGGTATCTGAAGTTTCACAATTAATACTTTTTAAAATGAAAATGCCTTCATACCTTCACTTTCCTCTTTTTCATTCTGTTTTTGAATCTCCGCCACCAACTGGAGACGTCGCGCATCTTATTCGGCAAGCTCGGCAGACAACTTCTCCAATTCCATCTCCAACTTCTTCTTTTTCTTCTTTCTTCTTTTCTTGATCCTCCAGCACAGATTGATGTTCACGGACCAAATCATCCAATTTCTTTGAATGATCATCCAGAAGATCCTTCTTTTTCCTTTTTTCAGCGTCTCTTCCCATCTCCAACTGCTGTTTCTCATTCTCCTGATCCATCTCCGTCACTTCTAGGATTCTCTTCTCCTCTTCCATCTTTTTCTTCGCAGCTTCAAGTCTCACTTTGTTCTTCTTGAGCTCGTCTCGCTCCTTCTTAATGTCTTCGTTCTCCTCCTTCTGCTCCTCCAGCACCGACTGATATTCACTGGTTATCTCCTCCAATTTTTTCCTCTGCTTCTCTTCCAAACCAGTGGTCTTCGTCTGCCATTCTTCATTCATTCTGTCATAGGAATCCATGTGCTTCTTTTTCTCTGCTTCTCTTTCCAATTCGAACGTCTTCTTTTCCTCTTTCAACTGCTTAATTTCATTTTCAAACATCTGTTTGGCCTTCTTGAAGTCTTCTATTTCCCTGACTTGCTCGATGTTTTTCTCTTGGAACTTTAGAAGCGCTTCTTTCAGCTCCTTTTCATTCCTGTCCTTGTCTTCGTTGAAGTTTTTCATCTGGGTTCTCCATGCATTTTGGTTTTTCAGGTTGTCGCTCTCCTTCTTCTGATCCTCCACCACAGATTCGTGTTGACGGACCAATTCCTAAATTTTCTTAGCATGTTCATCCATCAGACCAATGGCAACTACAAAATGTTGTTCTGTGGCCGAGTGGTGTGCGTGCTCGCCTAGGAATCTGCTTTTGCGGGTTCGAACCCGCTTCTTGTGAACCTTTTGTTTTTATGTTATTTGATCCTAGAATGCTTTTTTACTACTTTTAATGGTGATTTTCGGTAATTCAACTTTTCCTTTGACATGGTTCTGTTCAGAAAAAAACCAAAATTGGAAAAAAATTGTGAAAACGTCAGGGTGGCTTCCTACGGATACAGGATGGTAAAAAGCCATGATTGAAAGTATGAAAAAAACATTCTATGATCAAATAACACAAAAACAGAAGGTTTACAAGAAAGCGGGTTCGAACCCGCAGAAGCAGATTCCTAGGCGAGC